GTTATTCGGGTTTTCTCCCGCGTAGAATTAGAAGTGTCTTGGCGACGTTTCGACGAAGATGACGAATGTGACTTCGTCGAAACGTCGCCAAGACACTTCTAATTCTACGCGGGAGAAAACCCGAATAACTAAAGACCTACATATATATATATATTCACCCTACCTTTATTATTTTTTATAACTAGTTCGAGTTGGCAAACATACTTAGTACTCCATCTTTCACAACAGTAATTCTGTGAGGTGAGTTGGGTTGAGAGAGTGGCGCAAAGTCACCTAGTTGCCTTTCATGCTTAGGACAGAGCTAGAAGTCACCGTCTCCCGGTTTCTAGCCTGGTGCCTTACTTAGACAATACTGATGTAAAAACAAAACCCCACTTGGTACAGCTAAATATGATTTAATGGATTGGGTATCAAAAGATGGTAAAACATGGCAAGTTGACAAAAAAAAGAGATTGCTAAGGCATTTTTGGCCCTGCTTAGCTTCGAGTAGAAAAAGACCAAAAGACTCAGCGTTACCTTTCTACAACTATTTTGTCCTAGGCTTCTATATTTTCTGATGGTCAGCAACAGCCCTATTTTTATTATCTTTCTATTGATCTGACAATATCCCACTAAGTCCATGATCTTTCTTTACCCTGTATTTTCCCATCCCCACTGAAGCTTACTGCTCATTCAACCCTTATATTTCCCAGTGGACACCCTTTTGGTTTCTGTCCAGGCTGAGTGAAGTTTGATGGGAAGAAGGAATAACTTCAAGGAATAGGAAGAAGAGCCAGCACCAAGAACAATGGTCAGATAAAAGAATTCTGGGTCTGGGACAGAACTGTAATGTGAGCAAGCATCTCAGAACCCCTCTAGTTTTCATGAAAATTAGGGGGAGTAGAATGCATTCAGATTTGTATGATTCAGTTATTGTAACTTTATAATAAAAGTAGTATTAGCATTCATGAGTTTGTTTTCCTAGTCTGGTCTATCTTAAAGGGTTGACATCTCCCTTTACTTTCCCACACCAGTCCCATAATACGGCAATACGTTCCTTTCCTATTTTCCCCCCTCCTATATCCTTAAATTGCAATGCAGCCAAGTTTCAATGAAAGCAACTTTGCTTCTATGACGGTGAACCATCAATTCTTCCTTGTTCCAGAGACCTACAGTGGAGCATACGAGCAAAGAAAGAGCCAGCACAGTAGCATCGGAGTAGTGATGATATAATAAAAAGAAAGACATAGTATTGTCAAAGAAGAGAACCTGGCAAGAGTATATGATGGCATCCATCTGTTCAAACATCTGGAAAAGCAAAGTAAAAAGAAAAGGGATTGGTGAGGAGTGATAATCCCTAAAAGAGAAAGGCAGGCACTGGAAGATCTACCCATCCAAGGGCCAGCCAAAAAGGCTTTCCTGAATGAATGACAAGGGCAAGAAACAAGAAAAACACCAGTCAGGGCCTTCAGTGGCTGTTATTTGGACTCAACATCAACCAGGTTTCTGTACCAAATAACTGTAATGCAGTCTGGAATGATTAGGAACAGCCAGAACCAGTAAGGAAGTCGTAGCTTAAGTTACTATGCAGAATGGCTAATATAGGGCCCTACATGAGTAAGATAGGGGTGGGTGTTCACAAACAACACCATACAATAAATCAAGACCAGCAACCTGTCTCCTTCCCACTGTACACATTCCCAGTTTGTCACCTTTGGAGGCCATACTGATGACATAATTGCCAACAAAACAATTTTCCATTGTTTTGAGATAGGACATGAAACTCTGCCATAGCCTTACCTACTTTTTAGCCCACCACACTACTAAAATGATCAGGGTAGTCCTTGGTTCCCAAGACCTGTAATGAGATATGATTGTCTGTCTGTCTGTCTAGCTGTCTATCTATCTAGCCATCCATACAGCCATCTGCCAAAATCTGTAGTACTCTTCTGATTCTAGGCGGCTTACAATAATAATAACAAAAACAACTGGAGCACCGCTTGAACACCATTGGCATTGACAAAATCACCATCAATCAATTGCAAAAGGCAATTTTACTTGGAACAGCTTACATCCTGCAAAGATACCTTTAACACCATCAAATATCCACAGCTACCTATCCCAGATCCTTGGAAAGGACTCGATAGGTGGATAAAAATGCCACATCCAGTCTGAACATCTGACTGTGCAATGAACCAATCGTAATAATAAATTATTACCTAAGTGCACACATTTGTCTAAGCAATGAGTTTACAAAACACTCTACCTGACTTCACACAAGCAGCAAATCATAGCACGCATTACTTTGTTCTGTCACTAAGTATCCAGATTTGCATATCTCATTAAGAGATGTTTTAACCATGGTTGGTTGAATAATCCAAAGAAGATAAAAACACAACCCCAAAGACATGTGGCTTATGAGAAAATTAGAGGCACTTTAAGAATCTGTGCCCCACACATCCCATGCTACCACCCACAGGTATCCATAGAAAGGGAATCAAGCAAGAATGGCCACCACAACATGTCTGAAGCCCCATTATTTTTATATGTATTGTGATTTAGCTAAAAGACGTGGGGTTTCTATTGCATAATCGCGACCACCATCTTCATTTGTTTGACATCCTCCACTCCACCAAACATGCTCTAGTCTAGGCATCATTTGTTCCTGTCTCATTCTGCTTGAAACTCATATGTTGATATATTTTTCTAATGAGCTATGAGAATAACTTTGGAAAGAAGAAGAAAGAGCTACAGCCTAGACCAGTGATGGTGAACCTTTTAGAGACTGAGTGCCCAAACTGCAACTCAAAACCCACTTATGCATCATCGGGTGCCGGGTGGGTGTGGCCATTGGCTGGGTGTAGCCAATTGGGTGGGTGTGGCCCATTGGGTGGGTGTGGCTGTGGTGGTAACGGCAGACTGGGTGGGACTAAAAAGTTCAATCAATTAATTCCAACTTTGCAAGATCTTTTTTTTTCCCACAAGAAGTTGAAATTGACTGATTGATTGAACTTTTTTTTTTGCACACGACGGCAGAGGCCTAAAGTGGAAAGGTTTTATAAAACCCAGCTGAAGGCCTAGGACTGGGGCGACGGCGTGCGTGCCCACAGAGTGCCGCCTCTGGCACCCATGCCATAGGTTTGCCACCACTGGCCTAGACAGCTGTCTGGTAAGAGAAATTTGAATCTAAAGGATGGATAGGGGTGGAGAAAGTGCCTCAAAAGAAACCCTCCCTAGTTCTGTGAGAAGTAAAGGCAGAGAAGGGGGAAGTGTTTCCAGACTTGCAAGATTCTGTTACTAAATCTTTACAATAAGGGTAGTAATAATATGATGGTTTGACTTCCTGTCTGGACTATGCCAAGGGATTGGCAATTTCAATGAAAGTATATACCATATATAATAGAATAGGAATCGTTACTGTTGTGTACATGCATTAGCATTTCACAATGCAATAATTTAACTAAAATAATATTTAATGTGGGATTCCCCACCATCACCGCCTTTTTGAAACTTTTCAAGAAGCCTTGCCCTCTTTTGGTATAACTAGCCATTCAGGTCTGTTGATGCCCTCAAAAGTTGTATGCCCTCAAAAGTTGTATGATCCTGCCTTAAGGCATGTTTCACCATGCACAGTGGCTGTTCCCACAACATACTGAGCAAAAGCTAAAAAGCCACATAACTGTGAGAGGTTAACTACTCAGAGATGGCTTACCAGTAAACACCAAGATCCACCACCACCACCACCACCACCACCACAAAGTAGAAAGCACAGGACTATCTGGAAAAAAAGCTCTCACCAAGTTGCAGCTCCTGGATTGTCTGTGGCTACTTCTGATTTAGCTTAAAGAAAGAACAGATATAAACAGGGGCAGTGAGGAAAAGTATTTAGCACAGTGTTTGGTGAAAGTGTGGAAGATATTTATTCTTATCACAATTTGAAAAGCATCCCTCTAAAGCAGGACATACAATGGAGGCTTTTTAAAAAGTAAGAGGGATTCCTTCTGGACAGGGCCAAAGTTTGTCTTCAAAAGAAGAGACCAGCCTCCATCTGGGCGTCATCTGTGTGCATAATTTCGACATCAAAACTATTTTCACCACAGATGGTTCTTCAGACATCTGGCAACTACATCTGCTGAAGAAAATGCTGCATCTTGAAAGGATTGTCTTGGTCAAACAAGGGTAATTTATTACTTTGATTTTAATTCCTTGCAACAGGAAAAAAACCCACTTGTTCAAGAATGCAGGCTTAAAAACCAACAGTTGTAGTTGGCATTATTTAAAAACAAAGAAGAAAGAAGAAAACAGACTAGGCACAAAGCTGTATTTTTCCAAAGAAGAGGGGTTTTTTTCAAAGCAAATTCAGCTCAGTATTTTAGAACTACTTCTGAATCATCTTCTTTTTTTATAAGATTTGATGATTTGTATTAATCATCTATCCAACATTCGTCCTATACAGACAAGATCATAAATTGCAGATTAACATTATGATTCTGCTTCTACATAGCATCATGCTATGCCAAAAAATTAAAAAAAAAATTAAAACATGTCCAGACAACCCACTAAGACAGGGGTCCCCAACCTCCGGTCCACGGACTAGTACCGGGCCGTGGCATGCCAGCAACCGGTCCACACAAACAAGCAAAGACCCATCCATGGGATGCAGGCAGCACACAAAACCACACACCCTCCAGTCAGCTGAAAAACCTCTCTCCACGGAACTGGTCCCTGGTGCCCAAAAGGTTGGGGACCTCTGCACTAAGATATTTTGGATAATTAATGATGAAAATCACAACACCATCTAATGCCACATTTTCTATGTAGCCATTTAATCTGTGTCTAAGGTCTCTAGAAAATGAAGCATGTTTTCCAAATCTGAAGTAATTTCTGTTTCATCCAGCATCTATTCCAATTTGAAACCATGTTTCATGTGAATTCAAAACCAAGAATCAAAATGCAAGCATGCTTCTTTTTTAATATGTTGCTTTGGTGGAGAGATAGGATAAGAAGAAAAGGAACATCTTTTCTCTCTTTATGTTTTCTTCAGAATATGCAATCTTTGGCAATGCATATACGTTCTGGCACCCACTTCTAATAGGAATCTAAAACTTCTGTCTGTCTAATCTGTTGTTGCATCTGGACCAATTGTTTCAGTTCAGTTGCCTATTACCAACAATTTCTAGATAGAGCTTTGTTACAGGGAGGCACATCTAATAGAATGACGGCATTGGAAGAAACCTTGGAGATCTTCTAGTCCAGCCCCCTGCTCAAGCAGGAAACCTTATACCATTTGAGAAAAATGGCTGCCCAATCTCTTCTTAAAAACCTCCAGCGATGGAGCACCCACAATTTCTGAAGACAATCCATTCCACTGATTAATTATTCTCATTGACAGGAAATTTCTCTTTAATTGTAGGTTGGCTCTCTCTTTGATAAGTTTCCATCTATTACTTCTTGTTTTGCCCTCAGGTGTTTTGGAGAATAGGTCGACCCCCTCTTCTCTGTGACCACCCCTCAAATATTGGAAGACTGCTATCATGTCACTCCTCGTTCTTCTCTTTGTTAGACTAGTCCAGGGGTAGGCAACCTTGGCTCTTTTATGACTCGTGGACTTCAACTCCCAGAATTCCTGAGCCAGCTCAGGAATTCTGGAAGTTGAAGTCCACAAGTCATAAAAGAGCCAAGGTTGCCTACCCTTGGACTAGACATACCCAGATCCTGCAACCATTGATCCTATGCTTTAGCCTCCAGTCCCCTAATCATCTTTGTTGCTCTTCTCTGCACTCTTTTTAGAGTCTCGACATCTTTTTTATATTGTGGTGACCAAAACTGGATGCAGTATTCCAAGTGTAGTCTTACCATTGCAGTTGTTAAGTTAGTAACATGGTTCAGTAAATCAGGCTTTCCCAGGTCACAAAAATGATCACATGACCCCAGAAAACAGCAACTGTCATAAATACCAAGCATCCAAATTTTGATCATTTGACCGTGGGGATGCTGCAATGGTCATCAATATAAAAACAATATCATAAGTCACTTTTTGCAGTGCTGCTGTAATTTGGAATGATGGCTAAACAAATGGTTGTAAGTTGTGTGTAGCTAAATCAAATGTTTAAAAAGACCTTTGAGTTCATCATGAATCAATACATTAATGTGGCTTATCTGCATGACCTGCTTGGCCTGGTGTGAGGATAGCCTTCCAGGATAGTTGATTTCCTTGTCTAGTCCATTTAGGGGGACAGACATGTTTGAGAAAGGGATGGATGGGATTCTCACAGCCTGAGCAATTTACTTATAATGATAGCAATACTGATGGTTCGATTCTGGAACTCCTGAAAAAAGGACATAGTTCTCTGAGTACTTAGACTCAGGCACCTCCTGAGTGGTCACTTCCAAGAGAAGACCAGCCTCTGGGCATATGTGGCAGTATTTGCTTCTCTTCATGGGGAGGGGGAGATTTCCTCAGCCTTGAAGAAGAGTTTAGTGTGCCTTTTCCTTAAGAGACCACTGGCGAACCCAAACATCATGGACAACTGGAGAAACATCTTGGAGATAGTATCCTCCATGTATGTTTTGATTGCATTTCCCAGATTCCCTTGAGATTCTTCCAAATTCCCTTGAGGGATCAAGCCCAGGAAGGCTAATTTAAAGCCATATTAAATAAGACAGAAGGAGATCTGTGGTTCTAAAACATGGTTGGATGAGGAATAGAATGGAATGGAACAGAACAGAAATAGAACTGGACCTTGGAGGTCTTCTAGTCCAGCCCCCCACTCAAGCAGGAGAACCTATACCATCTCAGACAAGTGACTATCCAGTCTCTTCTTAAAAACCTCCAGTGATGGAGTGCCCACAATTTCTGAAGGCAAGCTATTCCACTGGTTAGTTGTCCTCACTGTTACGAACTTTCTCCTTAATTCCAGGTTGCTTCTCTCTTTGATCAGTTTCCAACCATTGTTTCTTGTCCTGACCTCTGCTGCTTTGGAGAATAATTTGACCCCCTCATCTTTGTGGCAGCCTCTCAAATATTGGAATACTGCTATCATGTCACCCCTATTTCTTCTTTTCTTTAGACTAACCAAATCCAAGTCCTGCAACCATTCTTCATATGTTTTAGTCTCCAGGCCTTGGATCATCTTAGTTGCTCTTCTCTGATTTTTTTCCAAGGTCTCAACATCTTTTTTGTACTATGGTGACCAAAATTGGTTGCAATATTCCAGGTGTGGTCTCACTAGGGTTTTATAAAGTGGTACTAATACTTTGCGTGATCTTGATTCTATGCCTCTGTTTATACAACCCAGGATTGTATTAGCTATTTTGGCAGCTACTGCACATTGCTGGCTTATAGTCAAGTGATTGTCCACTCGGACTCCAAGGTCCCTCTCACAGTTACTGTTTCTGAACCAGGTCTTACCTAATCTGCACTAATATCTTTGGTTTTTCCTGCCTAAATGTAAAACTTTGCTTTTCTCCACATTAAAACTCATTTTGTTGGATAGGGCCCATTGTTCCAGCTTGTCAAGATCTTTTTGAATCCTGATCTTGTCTTCTGGGGTGTTGGCTAGTCCTGCCAGTTTGCTGTCATCTGCAAATTTGATGAGGTCCCCTTTTATTCTCTCATCTAAGTCATTGATGAAGATATTGAAGAGTACTAGGCCTAAGACAGAGCCCTGTGGTACACCACTGCTTACTTCTCTCCCTGTGGTTATAGTACCATTGAGGACTACTCGTTGAGTACTGTTTGCCAGCCAGCTACAGATCCATGTGGTGGTGATGTTGTCTATTCCACCTTGTTCTAGCATACCAAGGAGTAGGATGTGGTCTACTTTGTCAAATGCCTTACTGAAATCTAAGCATACTATGTCCACATCATTTCACTGGTCTACTAATTTGGTCACTTTATCAAAGAATGAATTAAGATTATTTTGGCATGATCGCTTTTTAACAAACCCATGCTAGCTACCAGTTATAACTTTGTTTGCTTCTAGTTGTTCACAGATCTGTTTTTTGTATTAATTTTTCCAGGATCCTCCCAGGTATTGATGTTAGACTGATTGGTCTGTAGTTTCCTGGGTCTGGTTTTTTTCCCCTTTCTTGAAGATGGGGACCACATCAGCCCTTTTCCAATCCTCAGGTACTTCCCCAGTGCTCCAGGATTTTTGAAAGATATGGTGCAATGGTTCTAAGACAGGGCTTTTCAACCAGTGGTACAGGTACCACCTGTGGTACATTGGCACCTGGCAGGTGGTATGCGGTCATCCTAGAAAAGTGGTAGCAGGGGAGGGGAATGAGCTGAACCGGTGGCAGCACCGCACAAGCTTGAGTGAGAGATGGCTGGAGTTGCAGGGCTATCAGGGCTCAGTGGAAGCACTAGGATCAGCACCAGGCTCCAGCTGGAGCTCGGCGCTGATCCCGGTGCTTCTGCTGAGCCCTGAAGAAGCACCAATCAGCTGGAAAGCAGCACTGATCCTGGTGCCTCTGCTGAGCCCAGAAGAAGCGCCGATCAGCTGGAATGTTGCAGCATCTCCAGGGTCTTGTGATTTACATTCAGATGCTTGGCAACTGATTCATATTTATGATGGCCACAGTGTCCCAGGGTCATGTGAAGTGACCAAAACCTGCTGCAACCACCCAGCAGACGGGGGGAATAAACACCAAACACCCCCCACCCCACCCCCGCTGCCAATCCTCAACAGAAATGCTCACAACAATGGAAACCTCGGACAGGAGGAAGAGTGCCGCCAGGTGGGCAGGCAGGTGTCTTGCTCGGCTGTGGCTTGGGGGGCACTTTTTTCAGTGCCATTGTAACTTCGAACAGTCACTAAGCGAACTGTTGTAAGTCGAGGACTACCTGTACTTGATCACTTTATCACTTTTTTCCTTTTTGGGGAGGGGGTCATCAAGTTTTTGACACCTTGCTAGGCGACTGGTGGTACTCGGATGTTGCCATATCCTAAAAGTGATACAATGGGTGAAAAGGTTGAAAAGCCCTGTTCTAAGATAACATCTGCCAGCTCCTTCAGGACTCTGGGATGTAATCTATCGGGACCTAGTGATTTATATTCGTCAAGATCGGATAGGTGTTCTCTTACCATTTTTTTGCTTATTTTAATCTTTGTTCCTAGTTTGTCTTTTGCAGTATTTTATTTTAGTATGTTATGCTATAATTTCTTTTTGTATGAAGAC